ATAGATTAATAACTTTAGGGTTCGACTCTTCATGGGAGCGAATTTTCTACCCATGGGATGTTTTTCGCCCCTGACGGAAAGGGGCCGGGGAAAATGCGTTGTTGGTTGGCATTATATATAGATTGATAACTTTTCGACTCCTTTTGGGAGCGAATTTTCTAGGATTTAACGGCATTATATATAGATTGATAACTTCTAATGATGATATGTATAACATACCAGACCCATGGGATGTTTTTCGCCCCTAACGGAAAGGGGTCGGGGGTCGGGGGATGAAAATGCCGAGGGAAAATGCGTTGTTGGTTGGCATTATATATAGATTGATAACTTCTGATGATATGTATAACATACCAAACCCATGGGACGTTTTTCGCCCCTGACGGCGTTATATATAGATTGATAACTTTTGATGATATGTATAGAATACCAGACCCATGGGACGTTTTTCGCCCCTGATGGAAAAGGGCGGCGCAAAATGTGTTGTTGGTTTCACTGTGCGTTAGTTAATCTTCTTAAATTAAAACTGTTACTCCCTCCGTTTCATAATATATATCTACATTCATAACATCTTGTTAACGACCAAATTTGGTAATCTAAGTATCGGAGATGAAGAAGGAATCGAAGCGAAGTTCGAGAGGGAGATCGCTTCGGAAACAGAGTAAGAATCGGCTGGGGTCTGAGTTGGCTGCGATCAGGATCGACAGAGTCCGAGTTGGACAGGGTTAGCCGATTGAGCCGAATCCGACAATGTGTCACAGCGTACGTTGTCGGGTTGGGTTGATGTGCTTCATGAGGATTGCCGCGTATGGATAGAGTCCTGAGAAGGCAATTGTATCTATTACTTAGGATATTTTATGTAATTTTCTTAGAGATATGTTCGGGCAAAAGTTTGCTGTAAAGACTTGTGGTATTTTAGAGTTTGTTAGAGATAAGAGTCATGTCCTAAATGGACATATTTTGTAATCTCGGGTATAAAATAGACCCCGAGCCCCATGTAATAAAACTAACACACGCTCAATACAATCTCGGCGCATCGCCACCCTTTTACTTTCGTTTTGTTTTCGACGAATTCTTGCTTTTGGGTTGAGTTGCATCGGTTTCGATCTTCAACAAGAGGTAAAACTTATTATGGCGGCTTGCGTTCTCAGGATTAGTGCTTACATCTTTATGATACTCTAATCCTATTTATGTAATTCGTCGAGTTATCATATATCTTACATAATCTCCGGCAATATCGCTATCTATTCATCAATCGGCTAACGTCTGCCACTAGAGGGCAGCCGATTAAGTTAAATACCGATGTTGACCTAGATTATATAAGATATCTACCACCCTATGAAACATCCAGCGACTTGATTGTCTAGATATTATCATTCTTTTCATACTTATAGCTGCATCAGTTGAGTTTGATCTTATGAGTCGTGATTAGAATCTCAATCTCTAGCCTACCTTTGGTTGGCGATTAGAGTAGCATCGGGGTTTCAGCCGATCTTACCTGATTTAACTATATTTATCTTATATGCTTGATTGACATGTTAAATCTGCCCTTTATGCTAAGATCTTGTCGCATTTAAGTTATTAGGATTTTGTTTGGTATATTTTACTTGCTTTGATATCTTAATATAGAGTGGTATCGGAGTATTAGCCGATACATGCTAGATCTATCTGATCGGCTATGCTATGAACATATATAATCTCATTGTTAGTATATATTTCGATCTAGGTGATTTATACTGTCTCGGCATGGCGACCGATCTATCCCAATCACTTGATTTAAGCATATATCAACATAAGGATTATATATTGTTAATATCTACAGCCGATCGAGTAGATTTAGTCCTTTCTTACTTATTCATGATTACCGATCGATTCACATATGACATCGGCTTGAAGATAAATGATATGTCATCGGCAACTAGCCGATCGGCTATCGTTTATGGATTTAACCGCGGTTTCTTCGTCTTTGTTTCTTGTTGATTGCAGGATCAAATCAACTGACACGCTCATACATCTAAAGGCAAGCTTTTGGACCTGCACTGGAGTTAAGCAGATCTCCTAGACCTCGTGTTTTCACGTCAACACATCTATACGAATGTGGATAATACTAAAAAGTCGGACGTTTTTCGCCTCTGACGGAAAGGGGCCGGGGGATAATGCGTTGTTGGTTTCACTGTGCGTTAGTTAATCTTCTTGAATTAAAACTGTTACTCCCTCCGTTTCATAATATATGTCTAGGTTCATTAACATCTATATGAATGTGGATAATTAAAAAAAGTCTTACATAATGAAACGGAGGAAGTATTATTGCGGTTATCAGATTATGAGATATCCCATTAGCCTATAGTCTTCGGTGTCTAAACGCCTATCATGAAGACATGAAGCCCACTCAAACTGCCCCAAGTATCGGGCCTCTTTTTGGGGCTACAGGTGATGTGTGGATACTCTCATGGAATAAGTTCATCTAAGGTCCCTAAATTTTACACTGAATCTAATTTTCGTCCTTAAACCCCAAAACCAGATACAACCAGTCCCCGAATTGTCAAAACTGGTACAAATGAGGTCCTTTGGCGGTTTGGAAGGCGGTTTTGGCTGACGTGGCGTCTACGTGGCTGGTTTGACTAGGTCTCCATCCCACGTGGCATTGACGTGGCGCTTACGTGGCAATAATAGCTCTGAAAAATAATAAAAAACTGTGGGCCCACATGTCAGCTACACATAAAAAATAATTTAAAAATGGTAGGACCCATGTGGCCCCACATGTTAGCCACACAAAGCCCATGTGGGACCCACATGTCATTCCCTCTCCCCCACTCGGCTCTTATTCTTCTTCCTCATCCCGTCGCGGCGCCGCCCCACAGCCTTAAAGCCGCGGCCGGAGCGGCGGGGCCCGCCGCGCCAATCAACCGCCGTCGGCCACCGGAAAGCCGGCCGCCACCGCCGCCGCTCTTCCCACTTAGCCCGCATCGCAACGCCACAAGGGGACGCGACCGCCGCCTCCCCACACCTCCGGCAACGCCGCCCGGAGTCGCGGCCGCATCAGCCGCTCGCTGCCGGGGGCGCCAATGGCGACGATTTCGGAGACACTGCCCAACTCGGAGGCCGTCTCCCACGCCTACAAGTTCGCCTCCACCTGGGAGAAGGTCGGTTTCCTCGCTTCGCTGCGTGGTCGGGTGGGTGTGTGGTCCAGTGGTAGCACTGGTGGATCTGGTGGATCTGATCTGATCTGATGGTGATCCAGTGTGTTTGATCCATAGTCCCTGTTGCTTGCGATGACTAAATGTTGTGAACTGATGCTACCATGGTTTGGTTTAGTTTAGTTTGTCGTGCTATGCTCGGGATAGACTAACCCGTCAATCGTATTTGAAGGATTTGAGATATTTCATTAGTTGCAACACAGCATACATACTCCATTTGGTAGTTCCTTATTCCTCCTCTTGTTTCTTCCTGTGCTCTGCTTCCTCTGCCTGCGCCATGGCCGCACCAGGAAGTAGCCTCGCGCCGACTACCTAATCGTCGGCACGCTGCCACACTTGGTCAAGAATCAACACCATCTCGTCGAGTGGTCGGCCGGCATTGTATGTTCTCGACACCGGATTTGGCACAACCCCCGCTGCTCGAAGCGCAGGGGGCCTGGAGCTCGGGGAGCTGAGGGCTGAGGCACCTCTCCGTGATTTCAACAGCGCAGCTCACCGGGAGAGGGAATGACATGTAGGGCCATGTGGGTTCCACAATTTTTCTTTAACTGACATGTGGGCTCATGGTTTTTATTATTTTTCTGAAATATGATTGCCACGTAAGCGCCACGTCAATGCCATGTGGGACGAATACCTAGTCAAACCAGCCACGTAGGTGCCACGTCAACCAAAACTGCCTCCCAAACCGTCGAGAGACCTTGTTTGCACTGGTTTTGACAATAGTTGAACTAGCCAACTAGGCCTTTATGCGCAAGCATTTACAGTATATGCCTATGGGCTTTCAGTTTCAGCGAAGAGTAAGCATTAACGGGGTTCGGTTGGTGGGCATATATCAGGACTGCATGTCTGTATATACAGCCATACATGTCAATTGAATACCTGGATTCCTATCTCTCCCAAAAAAAAATTGTATTGGTTAAAATTTTGGTACGCCAACCGTGTTTGAATTGGTTATAAGTTGTTCGTATCTAATTCGACGTGAATGTAAAACAACAATTATACACCCCTCCCAACCTAACCCAATCGACTCACGCCATCCCGATGCCCCGTCTCGCACACCCCTCCCTCGACCGGCGTATTTTTTTCTTTCCCTTTTTTTCATTTTCTTTTTCCCCTAATCATCCTTATCTTCTCCCGATCCTTCCAATCTCCTCTCTTCTCTCTTTTTTTTCTTCCAAATTTCTTTCCGCAAATTATAATTATTTAAGGTGTGTATGCGATATGTTTGCTACTTTCCAAATGCTTTCCATCTATAGTAAAAGAAAATTTCACTAATTGATAAAATTTCAATCTTTGATAGATGAGGTGTAGCTAAATACACATGCATCAACTTATGGAATAGCCACCTATCACTACTGGAGAGGGAGAGACTCCCGAGTGTCAAAAACACTCGGCAATGCATGAAAAACACTCTGTAACAGTGTTACCTAGCGCAACACTCCGTAATCTTCGCCTGGGAGTGATTTCTCCTTCCCGTGCATAGTTGGCGTGTGTCCTAGGTGGATACACCCCGTAACAGTGTGATAATTGCCGTGTGCTCTAGGCACTCGGTAACATTTTCACCCCACCGTCCAACAGAATTCCACGTGCAACGGCGACAGAGACGGAACGGTCACGGCACAGTTGCGTAGTGGAGAGAAAGTTACCGTGTGTTTTTCAATCGGACACACCCGGTAAACCTTCTCTTGTTATCGGGTGTTGACATCGCATGACACACGTTAACTTTCCAAGAAACACACACCAACAGTGCCCTCGTTACCGTGTGTTCAGTTTAGGACACTGTAATGTGACACACAGGAACTCTACTTGAGGGCAAACTAAAATGGGTTTGCTGATTCATTTATATTATTTACTTCCATCAGAATAGTAGGATCCTAATAACACATCACAGATGATCACAAATACAATGGTAGAATGGATTTCAATGCATTGACATCCACGTACAATTAATCAGTTTGGCAACAATCTAATATGAAACAATAGCAATGTCAATCTCATCAGCTACATCTGAGATGTAATTTGAATATTAATTCTTAAGCTTAGATAACCAAAGAGGTAGTGCAACTAGAAAAGAGTTGACGAATGGCATCGCAGGCAGTCCGACAACACCTCAAATAATATGCAGATGAGCCAGTTGACTTGCAGATCCTGAGATTTCAAAAAAAGAGGTAAGATTAATTAGGTAGGTCAGCTTTACTTCAAAACAACATTTTATGTACATGTATCTAAAACAGTGATAGCACATTTATATGAAATAGCATTAGCAGAAAGTTTATATAAATGATCTATGCAAATAAAAAAACTACCTGAACTTATTCATGCTTTCTTCAAGAATTGTTTAGGTTTATTACAAAATTCAGGTATAGCAAAAGTAATTGATATTGGAAACTTTTATTGATATGGCACATGCCAAGAAGCGCTATGCACCCAAGTGACTGGTCAAGTGCTCATAGAAGTTCTTTCTTTATACTAGCCAAGTGCCCATGTATTGCACTGAAATCCAAATAAATGATTGCACATGTTCAAAATAGGGGGAAATGCAAAATTGAAATCAAACCTCTCTTATAGAACTTCATGATTCCTGGTATATAATGTTATTTAGGATAAAAATGATTATGATCCTAACTCAAACAATTCTTGCTCATCTATCAAAAAGTTTATCTTACTATCAACAATTTATGGGATTTGTACAAACAAACTCATCAATTTGCTAGCACCAAAATTGTAAATCATGTAATCAGATGACATGAGTTAATTAGGGTTACCCCTACTAATTTTTCTGTGTTATTTTCTCATATTCAGAAATCCAATGGTATGAGAAGAATCAATTAAGAGAATATACAATAGTAAATTCAATATTCAGACATTGTAGTAAACGGAACTTTGCTTGTAGTACCTGCTTTGGTGTTGGTCATTTACATTCTTTATTTGTCACTCTTCACCTAGTAGACAGAGCACCAATTGATTGAGAATCTACTGCCTTGGCTATCCCAATGCTTGTCATTGTCCTGAAATGAATACACAGAGTGACCTTAGGTGGGTAAAATTGTTGTGGCTTATGTCAGCAAATCCCCTGTTTTACTCACGCGAGACTGTGGCTATCCTATAACTCTGACCTTTTCAGACGAGAAACAGTTTACTGAAAAACAGAGCAAAACGAGATAACAGAGTTTTTGTGCTGCGCAATACTTGCAGTTTTTTCGTCACTCCTCTTTATCTATTTATTATCCTCCTTATAAACTGGAGTTTGTTACATGCATATGACCACGTAAACACTCGATCCATACATTGCGCCATCCCACAACAGAATCAAGATAGGTCACCGATCTGAAAATGCAGCTAACTGAAAAAAAAAACTAACTGAAAACTAACTATGCAGGAACTAGTCTAAGCAACAACTTAAAATACGAATCACAAGATTACAAATTTAGTCAACAGCTTATTCCATGATAATTAAGTTGGGCCTGTTAATTTATGATTTAACTAAGAAAAAGGAAACATGCCAACCTGAGAGAGAGAAATGGCTCCCTGGCTTTGCAGCGAGTAGAATGTCTGAGGTGGTGCCTATGATGGCTTGAAATGGAGCCGAGCTAGATTGGTTCAGTACTGGAACAAACATTGCAATGACTTCTTGGAACATGCCTCCAATCTTCTGAAAAAAGGGAATAATAATTTCACACAAGTAAATTTTAGGCATCTCTAAATCAAACTACAGATATATGTACAGTTGGTTCATACTCCATATGATTTTAGTTGTGTTGTACTGGCTGGCTCATGGAAGCAATCCTCAAGAAAAGGAATTGCATCATATAGATAAAACAAGAATTTTATCTCCACTTAATTCCAGTAACTTGCACAAAAGCACAATTGTTTCTTCTCACTAACACTAATAAAATGAAAAAAAATTGATAATTGTAAATAGCTACACTTTGTCATTATGAAAGATGAAAAAAATAGTTTCATTATCAGAAATATGTTTAAACCCTGAAAACAAATGAGCACTGAAGAAAGGTGCTATAAAAAAGTACTCCTACACGACAAATTGAATATAAGTATATCTTACAAGTAGTTACTAGCTACACGAGAAATCAAATCTGAGCTCCAAGTTCTCCACCAGAAACCAAAATGCGTAGTTCTATATTTAGAGGGAAAAAATAATATTCTAGAAAAAAGCCCTTTGCAGCTGTCCAGGTGAAAAGTAAAATGCTTCTCTTCACAAATCAAATCCACAAGGGCCCTTCTCCATGCGTGCAGGAGGGAAGAAAGAGACATGGGGTGGGAAGAGAGAGATCATACCATGGAGAGGTAGCTTGCCTGTAAGTCTTGCCCGGGTCCTTCTTCACCTAACTTCTGTATTAACCTATAAAAAATCCCCAATTAGAAAAATCTTGAATAAACCAGATAACTTAGGGAATAGCCCAGATATTATAGATCTGGGACAAAGGAGCTTGTGGGAAGGAATTGACCTGAGGAGGGCAGCGCGGCCCCTGGCCATCGTCGCGCCGGAGCAACTGCCATGGGTGAGGTGGCGCTGGATCTGGCTGCCCCGGACTCATCGCCGGCAGTCTGGTATCCCCATTGCTCCGGCGAGTAGGGCAAAGGAGAGGATGTTGCGGAGGGAGGGCTAGAGCTGGAGCAGCAGGAAGAGGGGGAGAGCCGCAAGTACGGCGGCAGCACCGAAGTGGGGAACATGACCTCCAGACGTGGCGGCAGGGCTCGTAAGTGGAATATTCGGGGGAGTATGGAGCAGGTGGCGCTGGATCTAGCTGACCCGCGTTTGTCGGCGTCAGAGCCGGTGGATCCGTTGCTCCGGCGAGGAGTTCAAGGGGAGGAGGAGCGGGAGGATTTGGACGCGCCGACGCGGAGAAAGGGAAAAGGGATGTGTGAAAGGTGTTACTCTGGGAGGAGGATAAGGTTGGAGAGGCGCCCTAGTAAGATAAAGATGGGGAAATTGCATTCCCGCGCGCGCCACTAGAAATTGTAAATTTTGGGAGAGATTTTCTTTTCGTTTGTACATTAAGCAAATAATTTTCTATTTGTTATAACTGGTTTCTTTCTACATCAAAAATATTCATTGATAACCATCAAATTGAAGAAACATCTCCGTTTTTTAATTGAAACTACCATGATTTTTCTGAAATTGAAATTTGAATGCTACCTAGTTTTTTAAGCTAACTGAACACGAATTTGGACCGGTTTATGTCAAACTCTGATGGAGTTTCATTAAAAGCACCGAGACAAGCATCCCCCATGAGTTTTGAGAAAATAAAATAGTTTTACGAAAAAATAAATTTCAGTTTAAATGTGATGAAATTTGAAAATAAATAAAGGAAAATTGTAGGAATGTGTGGAAATGTTTGGGGAAATGGTGGGCCGGCGGAGTGGAGCGGGGTAGCAGCGGCGGTGGACGAGCGCGCGGCAGGCGGCAGCTAGCGGCGGCGAGCGAGCGCGCAATAGGAGCAGCCGCGGCGGGCGGCTAGCGAGAGTGGCGTGCACCCCACGGCGACGACGATGGCGACGCAAGCTCCCATGTCAGCTGATCTCTCCGGCGGCGGCGGTAGCGGCGTCGGGCTAGCGGCTGGGCTCGCCGGGCAAGTGGCGGCTGTGCCGTCCTGAGAGTGAGAAGACGAGGTGGGCGGGCGCTTCCGACGCTTCTTCTCGTAGGCGATGCCGCGCACCTTGGCCTGGCTGTCACAGACCTCGCGGAGGTAGAGGCGGACAACGCGGGCGCCGAACGGGTTGGCCTCGGGGTGGCCTCCGTGCTCGTCGAAGGCGGTGCGGAGGCGGCCGACGAGCACGTCGAGGCTGCCCCACGCCTGGCGGAGCGGGCACGGCCATGGCGCCGGCGATGAGGGGTGGCTCCGGCGGCCACACGCTCGTCCACCGCGGCCACCGCCACGCTCAACTCTGCCGGCCGCTGTCCTCGCCATCTAAGAGAGAAAAGAGAGAGAGAGAAAAGAGAGAGATGAGGAGAGAGACAGGAGATAGAGCTGACATGTGGGCCCAAGGGCATTTTTGACATTTCACGCGATTTCTCTCTCCTCCCTAACCGGAAAATATTATTTTAATTGGCGCGGTGTCCACTGGCAAATTATCACGTTTATGGAGTGTTTTCCCCAAAAGTGAGTTTGGCCAATGTCCTAGGGCTAAAACCACACATAACAAGTGTCCTGTAGCAAAATTTGCCATTAATATAATGTATAAAATATATTTAATATAGGATTTAATAAAATTAATTTGGTAGATGTTATTTTTTTATAAACTTGATCAAACTTAAAAAAAATGAGTTCAAAAAATCAAAACAACTTACGTTCTACTCCCTCTATCCCAAATAAGTGCAGCCACGAGTTTCTGTGTCCAATTTTAATCGTCCATCTTATTTAATTTTTTTTTTAAAAAAACTAAAAAAACATAAGTCACGCATAATGTACTAGTAATGTTTTATAATCTAATAACAATAGAAATATTAATCATAAAAAATTCAAATAAGACGGAAGATAAAAGTTAGACATGAAAACTCATGGCTACACTTATTTGGTACGAAGGGAGTAGAATGTAAGTTGTTTTGATTTTTTGAACTCATTTTTTTAAGTTTGATCAAGCTTATAAAAAAATAACATATACCAAATTAATTTTATTAAATCCTATATTAAATATATTTTATATATTATATTAATTTATTTGGTGTTGAAAATATTACCATGCTTTTCGATATTTTTTTTACTTACAGAACTGCCAGGGTAATAGAGGGAGTAGTCACCGAAATATAAATGCTTATTTTAAGAATGACGACTATTTTATTTAGCAAAAAAAACCCCAAGAGAAACGGGATGTTCAGATTTAAAAAGTCACGTAGCAAATTAAACAAATCAATTTTTTTATAACTCTCCAACTAACGGAAATATTTCTCAATGTTCATTGACATGTGGCCCCCACCAGGCCACCAACATCTCCTCCGTTACATTTGTTATGGTTGCCGAGTGATGTACAATAGCTCTTTGTAAATATCAGACGCCGTCACGTTTTCCGCTACTTTTCTGTTTCCGCCGCATGGGATTCGCTCCTGCGCCGTCCCCTCCACAGCAAATGCACGGACGCCAAAAGAAACAGCCGTTCCCCACCAATGAAACGTGCTGTACTGAGGGACGGGGGACTCACATTCGCTAGTGTAATACTCCAATATCCTGGTGTTCCCCAGTGTTCTAAATGAACACTCCGTAACAGAAGTTGTTGCAGAGTGTTCCCCTGAAACACCCGGTAATTTACGGAGTGATAGAAGCACACTACATAAACTTTCTGCTCATACCCGGGAGTGTCTCCCATCCTGGTAGTGTATGTAAGGCTATGAAAAGATGTACATGAAGCATTCTTCATGTGATGATGCATGAAGCGAGCGTAATCGGGCTCAAATGATATAAATGATTTCCGAGTATGTTTTGCCATTGTTTTATTTGTCTTATTTCAGTTTGTCGTTTAAATTGGCAGGGTTTTTTTTTATCAATCGTAAAAATTGTCTTCACCTGTTGCAATCACTAAATAGAAGCAGGGTGACAAAGGAGTAAGGGGTAGCGACTGACGTGACTTTTGAAAAACACAGGGATGATAAGGTTAAGTCCTTCAAAGTCCTAAGACATGCAATGAAATAACTATTTAACAAATTTTAATCAAAAGTATATGTAAAAAAAAGGTACATGCCTTACATCATGGGACGAAGGGAGTATAGTTTTGTATGGGTGCTTGCCTCGCAGTTGCGGGAGCCACCAGCTAGTTTAATGAATATATTAAAACGAATAAAACAGCCTGTTATAATGGCTTCTCTAAGTTCATGTCTTTAAACCAACAGTTGAGCATAAATAATTACTGTATGGCCTACATTAGATTGTGAGCAGAATAAAATGAAAAAGGGTATTAACTGCTTTTTTTTAGACATATAACATCGTTTACTCTCCGATACAAAGATTACCACTTGACTTATCAGAAAAGACTTTCCAAGTGTTATTTGTTTAATTTACTTGTTTTATTATTAACGTTATTTTAATATAGCCTTTTCATTTACACTATATTTTAATACACATGAAACATTATGTACCACGAAGAAAGTATAAGTGCTACTCCCTCCGAGCTGATAATACTTGTCGTTTTAGATAAAGATGAGGTCAAACTTTAGAATCTTTGATTATAAATTATTTTTAAAATATTTATCTTTCAAATATGGTGATTACGTGCATAGATTAGTCTTAAAAAGTATTTTAATAAAATTATATATTTGTTAATATTTTTATACATATTATAATAGAAAATAACGGTCAAAGTTGTTTTTGGAGACCGTGCTCTTGTCCAAACGACAAGTGTTATCAACCTCAGAGAGAACATTTGGATTAAAAGTCACGGAATATTCAGTTTGAAAAAGGTTGGCCAGCAAAAGTACGGCACGGCTACACCAAAATTTTTTGTGATCAACCCCGGAAACATCGATTGTGGCTATCATTGCGTAATCACGGCCGCAATAGCGGAATAACCCCGGAGTACAGACGTGTCAGGCCTTGAATGCTGTCAAGTGTGATCGAAAAGTTTTTTTTGTCGCCATGCATAAAGAGATACAGGTGGTGAGGCAACATCCGTCTACAATGCAACGATAAACACCCAAAGGCTCAAAACTTATTATAAACCATAACGGTTAATAGCTATAAAAAGTTCTGTATATAGAATTTATATATTTTTCTTAGGAACTTAAAATGTAAGGCTGAAAAAAAGCAACGTTAAAAATATATTAAAATTAAAAATTAAATTTTATAATATAAGGTTAGACTTTGGCTTATTCCTTTTAGAACAAAGGATGAGGCTCCCATCTGCCATCTGCCATTTAGCCAAAGTATTTTTTTTCACTCGAGTGTATATCCACATGTTCCATACATGCCACTTAAAAGTTATCAAAAAATTTAAAACAAATTAATATAATAGGTCAATATATGATATATTATTCCACAAACATATAAATTTATTAAGTTCGATTTAAATAATTAAAAAAAACTGGCTATAAAATGTTAAATTTGAACTTACATGCATGTGGAATGATATATTCATATATACATGTTAATCTATCGTACACTACTACAAACTCGATTTTTCATAGTATCACCCTATTTTTTTCTCTAGTGGTTATACGTGGAAACCACCAGCGAAAATGAATCTTCACTTGCGGCCGGGTTAAGAGAGCCGCTAGCAAAAATTATAGATATTTTCGCTGGCGGATCACTTAAATAACCGCCAGCAATTTTCGCTAGCGAATGCTTAGGAGCACTGCCTAAGAATTTATTTTCGAGATATAAATCCTACCCACCTCTCTTCGCCTCTCCCACCCAACCAACTTTCTCTGCCTCTCCCACCTCCAGCCTCCCTCCTCTCTCTCCGTCTTTCTCGATATTCCTCCGGCCTCCCTCCTCTCTCCACCGCTGTCGGCTACTGTCGCTTTCGTCGTCGCCGCTGCATCTGTCCTCGGGAAGGCGAGAGTGAGGAGGACGGATCCGCAGCCGTCGGAGGGCGGGGAGCGTGGATCAGCTGCCGCCGGGCCGCGGGGCCTCGTCGTCAGTAGCGTCGCAGATCTCGTCGTCACAACCGTCACCGCTGGGCCACGGGGAGCGCGGAGCCGCCGCCGCCGGGCCGCGGGGAGCGCAGAGCTGATGCAGCCAGGCCACGGACAGTGGTGCTCGGCTGGTGGTCGGTCGACGACGGCGACAATGAGCGGTAGCGGCTTAAAATTTCTATGGATTTGTGTTTGGATTTTCTGTCGATTTGTGCAACTATCCAATCCGGTTAATGTGTTTAAAGATGGGAATGGAAATTGCTGTGATTTTGAATGGAAAGTTTTTACTGTAAATTGTTGATGTAAATTTCTGTGGATCTGTGGATTAAGGAGTGGATTTGGGAATAATTTGAACGCCACGTTGATGGAGCGGTGTCGCTCCGTCATTTTTTTTTAGCCTTGTCCAGTATTAAGACTGGCGGCTGATATAGTGTACCGCCCGTGAAAATTCAGCTACCGCCAATCACTGGCCTTTAGTCGCTGACGGCGCTGTTGGACGCCAGCAAAAATTCATTTTGGCCGCCGGCAAAAAACGATTTTTCTAGTAGCGCTACCAAATCTTTCTACAAAATTGATGAATTTTTAGAACTAGCTGGGTAGCACGCGCAATTGCGCGGCTAGCACCCAAACAAAATCATTTTTTTTATGATTTTACTTCAAATTTATTGAATAGTTATCTCGTTGTCTTTAAAACTTTGAAAGATTAAACATTTTCATCCCCGTGTTTCTAATTATATAGTTTTTAAAAGTCACACCAGTTGCTACCCCTTACTTCTGTCATCTCCTTTTTTATTTGCTTGCTCGATCTACCATTATTTCTATTCATTCTCCTTGGAACCTTTAAAAATTGGAGCTTATAGTTTTTATAGTTTATTGTCAAACGATGCTACTATGCTCCTCTACGGCTCGTCCGCCGCCTACTCTTCATTGTCATTGGGATTCTAAAAATCAAACATAACTATCATTGGAATTCATTTTTTATTTTCTAGAAGTCTCGCCAACCGTCGGCGGCTCTACAACTTTACACCTATACACCCCGCTCGTTGCTTCTCCTTTTTATTATCATTGAGATTTTAAAAAACGAATATATCAATGGGGTTTATTTCTTTACTTTCTAGAAGTCCCGGCAACCGTCTTACCCATTTGCTTCACGGCCTGTCTGTCGTCCCCTCTTTTAATTGTTATTAGGATTATATTTGGTGTTTTATTAACAGCTTTTATATGTTGTATCAACCGCCACCTTTCTACTCCTTTCTATGCCTTTTACATAATTTATCTCGTCATGTGTTTTAGATGATCTTTTCTTCCAATATTCTTTATTTTTTATCACCAATTTTAGCTATTTATAAATTGTATTCCTAATTAAAATCTTTTTTCTTTTTCTAATTTCAGAATTTATTTTATTGTTTCAAATTTTAATTAATATCGTATTGTGTTCTTTAAATATTTTTATTTTTTATTTTCAATTTTATTTGTTTCAAAATTGTATTCCTACTTAAACTCTCTTTTACTTTTTCTAATTTTTAATATTATTTTATTTTTTATTCTAAATTTTAATTAATCTCGTATTGGGTTCTTAAATGTATTCTTCTTTCAATATTACTTATTAATTTCAGTTACTTTTAAATTGTATTCCTACTTGAACTCTTCTTTTGTTTTCTTTTTTGCTAATTTCGGATTTTATTTTTATTTTTATTCCGGATATTAATTAATCTTGTATTGGGCTCTTATATGGACTCTTCTTTCATTATTCCTTATTTTTAATTCCTAATTTCGGTTATTTTTAAATTGTATGCTTACTTGGACTCTCCTTTTATTTTATAATGTCAGATTTTATTTTATTTTTAATTCTAAATTTTGATTAATCTCGTATTGAGTTCTTATATGGACTCTTCTTTTCCTTTTCTCCGATTAATGTGGGAATTTCTAGCCCCACAGCGAACGTGGTGCCTCCTTTCAAGGCTGTTTTAATAGATAATAGATAGATAGATAGATATGCATGGAACAAGTATATACCCACGCGAGTGAAAAAAAAAACACTTCCAACTCTTTATTTCTGTTCTTGCTCACAGTTTTCATGCTCTCACTGTCATAGTGTCATGATTCCCTCAAGATAATAATACACTTAAGAAAATGATATCAGTGCCAATATTAATTTGAACTAGTTAGCAATATATTTATTTTTTCTGCACCACTCGAGAGCAATATGCTGCAGACGTGACCTGCCAAGTAGGCATCCTCAACCACGAACACTGTAATGATGATAAGACCATGCAATCTGCCGATACGCATCCCGTGAGTCCGCTCGCAACTGGCGACCGAGCGGAGGGATGTATCACGACGCTGGTCGGATGTGCCTGTGCGCGCAACTGACAACGCAAATGGACCGGGGTGAAAACCTCGGACTACTGATCGGTGCATTGCATCTCGTTCGACGTTTTATTAATAACCTCAGTCAACAGTGCGCACTCTGCAGTCTCAGAAACTGAGGAGATGCTTTGTAGTCTGTAGTCTGTACACTTGGCCGCCTTTTGTCTCTGGCAGGGGCGTGATCCGAACACAAGTTGCATTGCACCTGTGTGCATCATTACATCGGTCCATCCCCCTTGCAGCAACCCAACCCTGCCGGCCGGTTCTAGGGACGGTATCTGGTAGGCTTGCCCGCTTCCTCATTCTGCCTATATATACGCGTCCGCCCGCGCCGGATAAGCAACAAAAACTTCATTTTAGTTCAGGGTATCACGGTATCATTACCTAAACTTCATTTTAGTCCATGGCGTTCATGAGTTCAGCTAGCGAAGAGGAATCCGCTGGTCTCAAGGCCCCCACGGTAATCTCCCCTCCTGAGTCCTCCAATATACACGCTACGTGCAATCGTGCACAGCACAGTGCAGACCACACACGTACGCCTGAAATGGAATTAACTGTTTAATTATCGACTAATCTTTGAAACTCACGCACGCCTGAAATGGCATGTACTAACGAATGGGCCAACAATCTACTAGTCTTGCAACTCATTCTTTGAAACTCACTCACGTACGTCGTCATTTCTTCGTCTAATCTTTGAAACTCACTCACGTCGTCATTTCTTCGTCTATGGATTGTCAGGATGCGCGCGTGATTCGTCAGCGCTATGAAGGCGACGGGCCGATACTCTCGGACGACGCGCTACTGCCAGCTGATCCAGGCGCGGCCGCCGGCGCAGCGGCGGAACAACAGCAGCAGCAGGATGAGGCACGGAGCGTGCGGTGCGAGTGCTGCGGGGTGGCGGAGGACTGCACCCCGACGTACATCGGCCGCGTGCGGGAGCGGTTCGACGGCAGGTGGGTGTGCGGCATATGCGCGGAGGCGGTGAGCGAGCTGCGGAGGCGCGACCCGGCGCTGGCGGTGCGCGAGGCCGTGGCGTCCCACGCGGCGCTGTGCGCCGAGTTCAACGCCACCGTGCGCGTCAACCCGGCGCTCTGCCTCGTGCGCGGCATGCGCGACATCGTCAGGATCAGCTGCCGCGGCCGGAGCGGTGACTCCGCCTCGCCGTCTGCAGCTCCCGGCGGCGGCGCCGGCGCCAGGATCGGCAGGACACGAAGTTGCGCGCTGCCGTACGTTTGATCGCGTCGCAGGTTGCCACGTAAGCGATACGTGCGTGACAGACCGACGACAGCCAGTATCGCGCCAGATGTTCTCTGATGAATGATGCTACTAACAGTCTAATTAACACGAAGTACAGTCTACTGATCGACGTGAACTTAAGTTGTGAATTGTGATAGCCTATATATATATCGGGATTAGACCATTGAACCGCTTTCAGGTTAACTCAAAAGTATCTCTAATTAATATTGTAAGGTTACTGGCGGTCTGGCGGATCGTGAAATCGTGATATATATCGACAAAAGACATCTTGATAGCTCAAGTGCGTGTCACCAATGTAATAATTAGTTTGTCAACATCTCGATCGATCGGTATGTCAGATAACAATAATTTTGTAGATTCTCGTTAACCATAGAATGATGTTTAGTCTTTGAGGACGTACTAGGTATTAAAAGATACCAAACATGATCCATTAATCTCTGAAAATCGGATGAGCTAAGGAAAGTCGGTACCAGTAAGCATCCCTTCCCACCTGTACCACTATCTTTTTTTGTTCAAGGGGGAAAAGACTACTTTCTTTAGTCTCTTGACCGATCGATAGCAGCTCCGGTTGCGTGCAACAACCACCCCACAATGAGATCTGACAGCCGGCTAGCTGTCGCCGTCGGGGCAATAGATTCGGGCGAGGGCAGCAGTGGAAGGCCTCCTCGAGCCTGTAGACGAATTGGAAACAAGCACGACGAGGAGGAGGCCACGATGATAAGCTCAACGCGTCGGATGCCACGGCCTTATGGACGGCGGCGAACTCGGAGGAGGTGGGCTGATGGGGGCCGGAATCCATTCCTAATACTTCCCGACCTCCTCGAAGACTGTGGGAACAGGCGGCGACTGCGTTCGGGTCATGATGGCGCCCTTCCTAGTTCCCTCCTGATGGCGCCCTTCCTAGTTCCCTCCTGATGGTGCCATTGCTTCCTCCCTCTTTTCCAGTCTATTCTTGGCAATGTCGCTCCTCGTTCATCCTCTTCGATCCGCTCTCGCTGCCACCGCCTCCTCCCTACTCCCAACGACGTTGTCTCCCCTTTGCTCTCTCACTCGGGCGCGCTGCCTCCCCTTCACCCCCACCACCAAGGCCATCATGCAGTAGCAACCGCGGATTCAGGACCTACCTAGACACTTCCAATGGCGGCCGGGGTTGTGGCAGCTGTCGAAGAGGAGAAAGGGATGCATCCTGGCATCCATTAGATATTTTTTGCAGCTGTCTATGACAGACAGGTCCACTTTTTGTTTACTTCCCATGACAGACAGGGCCCACTTGTCGGATCCATCTTCCTCGTTTCCTCTTCTTCGTCAGCTGATCTACCAAGCTACCCAGGGCCAGGCCTAGGCCAATGCCATAGGTGGGAAATCCTTTCATCTCTTGCACCACGCACATCCTTATCCAACTATTTTTTATTCTCTTTCCACTCTTCCTAATCTCATCATCTATCAATCCCAAAGCCATAATCTCGAGCGTTCGGCGAGTTCCATAGTGCCACTGTCTGTGTCTCTTCTCTAACCCTATAACCCACCTGCACAGGATAGCACTCTAGTGCACCGCCTCACCCTACATATATCCATGCATGATTGGAAGTAGAGTATGCAAAAAAGTATAAAAGCATGGCAACTTCGCTTGGTTGAGCAATTGGACTACAGGCCGGAGAAACGAAACGAACTGCAAGGAAGAGCGGCGGCATGGTGACCTCATATCTGTCTCCACCACAATGAGAGGAGGGAGGAGACAAGACAACAAATGGTGACGCCTACGACGAATGGAATCAACCGAGAAAGGAGCGTTGTGACCTCGATGCAACGGACGAATGGATGATACTTCGATTTCCAATCACACTCCTAACAGATTGACGGCCATATGTGAATGGTATTTGGTAGTACCTCCTCAAGAATGATAAAAATGTTCTTATTAATACATGCTATATCTATAATAGTATTCTAGGTAGTTTTTTTTCCTAATCAAACTAGTATGATTTTGTAAGAAGATACTACCTAGCTGTTTATTAAGATTTTGGAGTCTATATATATCACACAGTTTTTTTAAGTTTCAACCTTTGAACAAGGATCCAATGTATATGAGCAACTACTACTACTTTTGGGCCTCAATTTGACCGGACCAACCCAATAGTGCTCACATGGGCTGCAAAGAAAAAAATCATAACGGACCATATTTAGTTTTTTTTTTATCATCTTGTAGTTACGACCATAACTATAGCGTAATTGCACTAAGGTTACAACCGTAACTAGTAACTAGAATGCAGTATTTTGGCTATGTAAGCCTGTAACCAACGTTGTTGGCTTGCTCAGTTGGTGAAGTAATATGTACAGTATTATTGTAGCTCGATCTCAATGCAATCCTACAATCAAGAAATCGAAAATTTCGTAGCACGAATCTCAACACAATCCTATGATAAGAAATCGATATGTTTCTAATAAATAATCTTGCGGCAGGTTTATAGCGAAACCGTTTGGAGAAAGTTGTAGCATGAACTCAACACAATCCTACAATAAGGAAATCTACAAATTTCTAACAAAAAGAAATTTGCAATAGATTTATAGCAAAACTGTTTTGTAATTGGCAGTCATTTGACATGCAACCTCTAAAATATTTGCCTATAACATTTTTTAAGGAAAGGTCGTCGAAATAAATTTCATTATCTATTATATACTAAAAGTTCATTAAACTTCGTACAAACACTCTTAAGCTGCCATGTGGCATCCTATAATCAATCGCTCTTGAGCCACCACATGCCACTCTAATAAAACAGAAAAAAATTTGACCATCAATTTTCATTTAAATTGGTGGACCCACTAATTTTGATCGGTAGATTTATCTTTGCATGAAAACATAATCTCCGTCCGTCCAACGTACCAATGTACGTATGATCCCTCCGCGGCTTACGTACTGACCCCCGTTTCCTTTTTTTTCTTTTTTTTCATCCCCATAAAAATTGAAATAAAAAAAATTATGGGCCTAAAAAGCCCATCAATCTACTAGATATAGCTAGCTCTTCCTCTATCCTCTCCTAATAAATAGTCCATTAAACATCATATATAAATTTCTAACCATCCATATAGCACTCTTAAATTAGAGAAAATCTAAAAAGAAATAAAACATTTGACCATCAATTTACTTTATTTTAGGTTATTAGATATATCTTTTTCTTAAGAAAAGCATCCCAAACCTCCCTCGTGCTCATAAATGTTTCTAAACCACTCCGTGACACTTCTAAATTAGAAAAAACCATAAAAGTTTAAGAACAAACCATCCAATCATTGATTTCACCTTAAATCGACGAACATATCATATAGGTTGTTATTAGACTTATATTTTAAGAAAAACTACCAAACCTCCTATATTTTAAGAAAAACTACCAAACCTCCTTTCCTCCCTCCACGCCCCTACAATGTTAAAGACTTAAAGTATATTAAACATCCTATAAATATTTCTAAGCCACTACGGGTTTTTCTTAAGTTAAAAAAATCATACAAAATTATAAGAAAAAACAAAACATCCGATTGTTGGTTTCGACTTAAACATCCAACACATTATTTTAGATCATTAAATAAAATATTTTTTTAAAAGAAAAAAGCATTCCACCCTCCCTGTCCCCATGCGGTGTGCGTCGTTCGAATTTCTCTTATTTTTCTATTTATGACAAGAGAAAAGATAATTGAAATTAAAATTATCTTTATGGGAAAAACCACAAATGGACCTCCACATATCAGGTCTAGCCAGTTGTCCCACTGCCCCTTTTCTTCTCTTTCTCCTCTTGCTAGCACTTATAGGAACAATATAAATAAAATAATAATAACCTTTTAAGTCATACAACTTATGATATGTTTAAACTATTATATTTTTTTAGTGAAATCAATACTTCAATATCTATATTGACTATATTTAAATGCTAACAAAAAAATATATATTCTGGACCCACATCCATTCTGAGGCCTCCACTAAATAAAAAAATATTAAAATTCGTTACTAAAAATCAAAATATCCCATCTTAATTTTTAATAAAGCCGGTAGACCCATTACTTATATCCCATTAGACAACTAACAACTTTCTATCAACTTAATTAATTTCTCTCAACATGTATATGGGACTATTTACCAATACAATTTCATTTGGATGCTTTTATCAATAAATGATCGTTTTAGGAGACCACATTATATATATGATTTATGAAGTCACTAATAAATTAGAGAAAAATCTTTGAATGATATCAATTTTTATGTCATAATGCGTACCCCATCTAGTGTTAATTTGTTATAGACAACATTTTAAAGATTAAAACGTGCTCAGTTGAACATCATAATGGAATCTTAGCAGTGAAACAACCATAATGTGTCCTTACCAATATAGTGAGTCAATTCCATATGGAAATTAAAGACCATGTTCATTTATTTCTTTTTGGTAAAACTTGCTATGCTACATCGTAAATTCTTAACTTTTAGCGTAGAATAGTCTAGCAATGTGTATTTATTATTGTTAACAGCGGAATTTGAATTATATGACCTCTATTTTAATATTTCTTACTCATTTGAAGAGAGATAATTTAGAATATATGACTTTTACCCATGTTAGGTTGTAGGCTCAACCCACATATATTTTTAACCCAAATTGAAGAGATCAAATCATTTCAAAGATGCTTCATAGAGTGGAATTCTCCAAAATTTTAAAAAATGGCTAGAAAAAAGAATTCAAAATTTATGTAGTTTTTTAAAAATAATCGTTGGGTTTAAAACCCATTCTAAATATAAATATTCAAATATTTTAGTAGGACTAATAGAATGACCATATCTAAAATTTCAAATAGAATGTAACAGAAAAATTGGACTTTTTGGCAGGGATAAGATATCCCCGTGGGGAGTCGAAATACTCAAAATTTTCTCATAGAAACTACATCTATTGTTTCGACATAATATTTTCTTATAAATTGAAAACTATACAGTTTCAAGTAATTTTACTTTAGAATTTATGTGCTGCAAGGGTAATTAGAAGAAAACCATAACCAATGTTTCTAGCACATTAAATAAGTTCAATTATAATTTGGATATGGTAAAAGAATATTTTAATATAAAGTCACCCATACATGAACATTCGTAATTATATTAAAGAAGGTGTGCGCGTGCTACCTTAGATAGTTCCTGACTTTGTTTTGTCTTAATGCTACTACATTCAAGCCCCACGAGCTGTGCGAGTGCAAGGCTGCGAACGGCTCTGGGCCGGGAACAGCCAGATCACGGCAAGGAAGCGTGACCCGCGCTGGTCGCGATTCGCGGACGTATGCACGCAGCCGCAGCAGCATCGGTGAGGCGGTGATCCACGCTCCACTATATGATCTGCACAGAAAGTCCGCACGCCG